TTGTTACTTTGTTCGTTGCACTAGAGTCGGGTCTCCAAGTTTTGTAGCCAGTATATCGAATCGGGGAACTGCAGCCACGTCCGAAAGGACGAGGTGAGATGCTTGTAGCCTAGCGTCCTTGGTAATCCGACTCAGCGGTTCTGCAGAACTCACTGTGTCTAGACTACTTGCCTCCAAGTGCTCGAACCTCGATTTGGTCACACTCATTGCGAAACTTGAGGATAAACCGCTTTATTTCGCGTTATATTCCTTTGCTAGGCACGACATTGAAGCGTTTCGTCTCTCTTATTTCGTTCATAGTTGAATAAACGTGTCTTTGTACAGATTGCGGTGGTATGGCTGCGAATTATTGTACAATTATCATGTAACACTTTCCTAATTTATTGATTAAATCTACTCATATTGTATGTCATATAAAAGCATGAACAAAATTTGTCATTAGCTATAATTAAGTTAGAAAATAAAGTATAAAGAGTGTATGCATATTGTATAGCAATAGGTAAAACGTCATTAATTATTCTGAAATTCAATATACTCTGAAATCACATTTTCCTGCTAGAAGTTATTATAGTATATAATTATTTATTTTATAAAGTTTTATTTTGCAATATTTTAATTTTATTACATAATATAATGTGCATTTAAATGATACATCTTTAATGTGTTCTAGTTCAAATTTATCATATACGTATTCTTGTATTGTTATACATATATATATATATATATATACACAGTCACTTTATTCTATAAGCTTCCTTTTAATTAGTACATTGCATACAATATTGATACATATGATGCAGAAGTTTTTATAATCTAAAAACCATAAAAATGTTTAAATGCTGAATACCAAATATTAATACTAAAGTACTAAATATTCAATGTGTTTTTAAAGTTTTATGACAATATCAAATTGTGGAATCAAAGGCTTTTATTTTCTTTCATTTCGATAAATAATCTGTAACTGCATAAATAACTTAATATTGACGTTAACAATATTTTACATATGTATATAAAAATATCTATTCCTCATTACGTGTTTCATTATAATATAATAAATTAAATTTTTTATATGAATGTTTCTAAATTAAATTCAAATTTCTGGCCTCAAGATCATTTGAAAATCACAGTATAGTAGTCTACACGTAACTGACACTTTATCACGCGTAACTGACCAGCGCTTATCCTCGCCAATTTTTAAAATTCGGACTCTATGCTACCTTACCGTTCGGCCGCGTGAAACATAACATTTGACACACAAAACAAGCTCATTCTCACTCTTTCTTTCGATGCTAATTCCTGGAATACACCTCCAAGTTTAATTGACCAGTTTCGGTCCCGACTGTTGGTCAGTTACGTGTAGACTACTGTATTAACTCATTCTTCGACATCAGTCATAATGGCGTCAAATAAGAAATATATAATGCCAAAGTGACCGTGATTTTTTATCGAAAGAAAAATCCTTACTATTGCAATTTGTAGCTGATGCAAAACTGACTAACTTTTGTCTGAAACATTTTTTAATTATATTATTGGAAATTTCTGTATGCGAATAGCATATGTATGATACATATTGACATCATATGTATGATTTCAATGTTTACTCTTACTATTCTATTAATCTTTAAAAGCACATTTATTTCTAACAAATATCAAGCTTACTTTTGCAAAGGCTTCCATAGATAAATCCATAAATTTTCCAGCGGTAATTGTTAATTGTCTTTGCGATCTTATCATGAGAAGTATCATAACACGTCTATCTCTAGGATCTAATAAATACCAAGAAGAACCGTAAGCTGAAGTGCTGATTGACAGACTCTACAACAAAAATATTTTACATCACATGAAATACTTAAACGTTCGTATAATTACTCTATACATTCTGTAAAAACTCATGTGCATATAAATTTTAGTAATTACGTACTAACTTTATTACTAAGATATTCCCCAGCATAGGAAAAAACAAATGCTTCCAATGTAATAGCAATATAAAACAATAAAATTTTTATAAGTTCTTCTATATTCTCGTGTGAATTAAATGCCTAGAATAGTGTAAAGATTTATAAACTATAAAAATTATAATCATAAAAAATAAAATATAAAGAACAAATTGTAATCATAATCATAAATATAAAGAAAAATGTATGAACATAAAAATATAAAAGTATAAAAATTATTCGAATTGAAATAATAATGATGGGAAAATGATACCTGTAAATATTACTTACAATTATTATTAAGAATCCTATACAACATATGATAAGTGTATTACATAATAATTGCATCAACGCAATATATGAGAATAAATTTTCGATATTTTCCGAACCAAGAATAATTTGATAATGTAGATCAATTAAAGATTTTACAACATTTCGCAAAGATTTATGATTTTTGATAGAAATATTTTTCACAGCTTCGTGTAACATTTCTATTTGTCCACCAACATGAAATATCTATAATGAGATTTATTAAAAATAATACTCGTTATTAATATAATACTATAGAATATTATAAAAAAAATATACTGCATTAAAATTAATTTAATAATTTAATAATTTTTCTCTTATTCAAAGGGATATAAATATTTTGTGAAAACTTTTTATATTTATTTGTTTTGAATTTTATTTTTATAATCGTATAATAATAAACTTTTCATTTGAACATCTTTTATGATTCTTCAAAATCTATTAATGAAAATATATTAAATACTTACAAGTGCTATAAAATATATCTATTATTTCTAAAAAAGTAAATTTAAAAAATTTTGAAAAGTGTAAGATTTTTTTTGCTTAAAGCTTAATTTTTAAGAAATTTTGATAGTTTCAAAAATTTGTCCAGTATATATTATGTAATGTGTATCGTAAATCTCGAATACAGTTTCTAAATGACCAAAATAACTGTTAATTTTCCGATACAGAATGCCTTTAGACTGTCATTTTCTATTTTCCACTACCTTACATTTATCATCAATATGATAAATTTAAAATAGGAATTATTAAGTATACAATATATTAAATAAAGTATATGATATCATAAAATATATTAAATAAGTATATCGTGACATTTGTCACGAACAAATTGTGTGAACATTAAAATTTTCCTAAAAAACATAGGATATTTTAACACGTGCATAAAAATATATACCACATTAAAAAATTGAAATCACTTTTTTATTTGCAAATTTAACGTTTAAAGACAAAAATAAAAATTCAATATTCAATATAAAGAAACATGAAAGTCACAGTAAAAAATTCAATACTGCGCAATATGAGACAAAAATTACATTGTTTAATTTCTCAAATTTTTTGCGTGAAATATTTATTTTTATTGCAAAAATTTTGGCCGAAGTTTCATTTCAATCACAAAACTATAACAAGTACATCGGAATTTTTTCAAATTTTTATAACACTCAAAACAATAAGAAATCAGGCGAAGAAATGAAAGATTCATAACGCTGCGTTAGTGGAAAACTATATTGCTGGTAGAGGATTAAATTTGGTAAACTTGTTAAATCATAAATGATACAGTTTCTGATTTACCTGAGAAATAGATTTATCCTGAAAAATATTCATATATAAATATATATCTTAAAAATATATTTAAAATATTCAAATAGTAATGTATTAAATAAATATATGTAAATTATAAGCGATTGTATTTATGCTAGAGATTGTTGACAAATTATAAAACAAATGTGGTATTGTATTGCATCAAATCGACTTACCAATGTAATTATCAAAGCATCTAACATGGCAATAGCAGATGAATTACTTAATAATTGAAAAAATTGTAAAATAAATACATATTCATATATTGGACTTTCATAATATGCAAATGGAAGGTCCATTTTTATCAATAATTGTCGAGATGTTATATTAAATTCATCATCTTGATTCTGACGAGTAAGTTCTAAAAATACGCCGGCATATATGAAAACGGCAATAACATATACGCTCATAATTAACTTTGAGTAACGGTATGCAAGTTTAGTTTTGTTTATCATGGCATCAATGTTGAATTTAGAAGAATTAATCCAGTCTTGAGACATTTTCATTAACATGTTTTTAAATAATCTACAAAATATTGTTATATGTATATATAGCATATAGTAAATATATAAATTAATAACAAAGGATTTTAAAAACAATTTTTCCATTTAATTTCTTTAAGAAAGATTCAACTTGATCATATTCAATTTTATGTTTCCTATGGTAAACTGCAAATATGTAAAAAAGGAATGTAAGAAAGGAATGAATATTTAATTAATATTTAATAATATTCAGAGTCTAGAAATTCAAAATGTTCTATGAGGTACTTCTTTGAATATATACTACCATGCAAAAATAATTAGACATCTAATAATTGAAAGTCCATTGAAAGGTTGATCACAATTGACATGAAATATTTTACTAAATACAATATACTTGCATCAATCTTTATATCATCATATTTTATATTTATTTCTAATAAATAGCTGATACTTCATAAAATCCGTATAAACTTTTTCAATGCGGATAGAAATACATATTTTTTTTATAGAGAATAATTTGCTGCATCGATTGATATAAAAATAATTATGTGAATTATTTATAAGAAAAGTAGCATTGACCTTTATATTTCCTTTATACGTCCACTAAACTAATTACATTAAATTATTGTCTCCTCGAAACAGTATAAATTGTATTTGAAACATTTTTCAAATAACAAACAATTATCAAAATAATTATATTTATAAAATAAAATAAGATACTTTGTATGTATACAAATTGGTTAATATATTACAGGTATTTCATCAATAATTGTTTTATCAGTTGTAATATTAATTTAAAAACAATTTTAATTGTTTTAATGTATCATTCATACATTAAAGACACTATTTTATAATATGATATAGATAATAAGATAATTATTTACAAAAAGATTCATGTCACCTTATCCTTCAATAAACTTATTAATTGCATTATAATACACCTGTATATTGGAGAAAATCAGAAAAAAGAAAAATTTAGAATTGTTGAGAAACTTAGAACTCTGATGACATATTTCAAGATGATCAAAATCGGTGAAGTGTACTTTTTTGCAAATAATAAATTGTCATTTTGTAAAGAATTAAATGATGTAACTTACCTACGGTTTATCCAGAAGCTAATTAATTTAAAAAACAATAAACTATAAGGTAAAGCAGTGCTCAAGCCATCTACTACATTTACCAAACTTCCACAACTAATATTCTTTATTATATATCGATATTGAAATATTTGTCCAAACATCATAATAATAATCCAAATGCATCGGACAACAATTTCGTAAGATGAACCTGGCCAAATTCCAGTTAATCGTAGGCCAATTACTATTAGGCGACTAATACTTCTATTAGGTATCATTTTAAATGAATTCGATTTGAAAAAATTATACGTTTTGTTACTCAATCTTACTTGTTTCTGCATGATACCGTCAGACATTTTACGCTGAAGTATTCATGCATAGACCACTGAATACTATATTCTGAAAATGTTTGCAACTGGATATGTATAATATTGCTTCTTGCGCATTGGTCATATGTCTATAAAGTATTCATGTTAAACATGGAATCACAGAAGCTGAAGTTGCAACTTCAAGAAGCTATAAATATATGATTAAAGAAAAAGAAAAAGTTAGTACTCAACTTTTCTTGAACATTCAACATTTTCTGCTAAAATATAGTGCATCAAATATGTGTTCGCAGTTAGAAAGTTCTTTTCACATTTCTCTAACAATAAGCGAAATACGAAGGAACAGAAGATTCATAGAAAAAAAATTCGAAAAAGAACTATATTCTAGCGATATAATTTTAACATTAAAAATACGAAAATAAATATTTAATATTACATATAACAAAAAAATGATATATAATAAAAATATATTCGAATAAATACGTCAAATAATTTTACACACGAACCAAATAAATTTATTTTGAAAAATACAGGAAAGACGTATTTAATATAATACGTATAAATGCGTTTATACTTTTATGATATATTTATAACATGAGTAATACATAAAATAGTAATGAGTTATATTATGCCGTGTTCTATTAAAAGTAACATTTAATTGTAACATTTATATTTTTCAATATAACTGCCCAATAAAAAGATAGAGAAACTTTCATCATCATTTTTATGTAGAATGTAATAATAAAAAAAAATAATTTTTATCTTCAATTTTTTGAGGTCATATTAAGGTCAGACAATCTTTTTTTTTTTTGTAATGCTATATTTTATATTTGGTATTATGAAAGTACAAATAAAAATGAGTTGAATATCTTTAAAACAACCTTGAGACGATCCAAAGTTGTAAGAATGAATGAAAATTAATATCTCTGTTACTTGTAGATGGTTGATAGTTTTTCGTAAAATTTCCACTTTTTTTCCAAATAATATTATTTTCGAGCCGACATTATTCGTTATCAGAAGTATCAATACTAGATATGCGAAAATTAGGTCTCTAAAAATTAAATGAACAAAAATCATCGCAACTAATATATTTATCAACATTATTCAACATTATTACGATATTTCAATAACTGTCAATTATAAATGTACGAGCAATTATTCTAATCAAATAAGTTTTAAAAATACGGTACAATAAAATAGTCTATAAATTAATTTCTATATACATTACATATTTTATAAATCTGTAAATAATTACTTACTTAATTTATTTAATGTCATTTAATTTTCACTTAACTGTCTTAGTTTTATTTTACTGTCCTTCAACCATTTTGTCATCAAACTTGTAGGCTGATAATTTTGTTGTATAATAGTTATAAATGCTAAAAGCCACTCAATGTCGACTTTATAATTTTTAATTGCAGACCTGTGAACAATTTTAATATTCATTTAGAAACACAGTAATTAAAAAAGTAGTATTTTTAATTTCTCCAGTTTAAATGTTAACACTATGTTTTTTTTATTTATATTGTACTATCAAAAATACGAGAGAATTATGATAGTTTTCTTTTCACAATATGACGCAATATGAAACAAGCAATCTATTTCTCGCCAGTTAGCACATAATCAACATAAAAATTGATAGTTGATGACGCATCATTTAGTTTTAAAAAGGTTTATATAAAGACAGATTTTTAGTCTGTGTGTGATCTTAAAAAAGGATAAATAAAATTAAATAGAATTGTTATAAACTTTATAAATTTTCAATGTAAAAT